GCTAAAAATGCATTGACCAGTCAACTAATGAAAGGAGAAGGAAAATATGGGTTAAATGACAAAGTGTCCTGAAGTGGAGATGGTGGCACAGCAATATGTGCCTGAGTCACAGCAGTCAGGGTCAACACTGAGTGCCAGGTTTCCTAATGGGTAAAGGGGGAAAAAGAGAGGTAGTAGATGTTAGTGACAGATTTATGCTAAGCTTTGTGACAGTACAAAAGCAACCAGGTACTTTAAGAAAGACCCACTTTCCATAGCACCAAGGTCTTCAGAAAAAGGTACACACTAGTGAGCTGCAGGACGGCTTCCCCATCTTTAGGCTTGGATGTGCGCTTGCTTTCCATCAGGTTTCAGCTCCAGCTGGTTCTCTGCTGTTAAGGAACCATGTGCTAACCCTTCATGTTTCCGTCAAAAGTCAGAGAGATCAGGGAGAGCACACTGAAGCGTGTACCCCAGCCAACAGACTACAGATTTTATACGTTTCAGTCAAAAGACTGGGGTGTACCCCAGCCAACAGACCCTACAGGTTTTCTTTGAAGCTTATGTGCTGAGATGTTTGCCCTGGGTCTATAACCTCGCATGTGTGTTATAGCTTGGAACTTTCGCAAAGCACCAGAGCAGTGTGTTGTTCCTAGACCATTACATACTGTGACATTGCTGCAATAAATACATTGTAGGAATGCCTAAGCAGGTTCATGTCGCTGTAGAGTGACTGCTTCCCAGAACCTTCCCTTCGTGTTCCCCTGGGCACCAGAGGGCATGTAGCTTCAAGCACTGCTGTGACATTATAAAACCTTTTTTTGCAAAGGTTGGACACTGCCTTGAGAGCCATGTACTGTTCAGTGCCTTTTCTACTTTATAAAATCATGTCTTTGGCAAAAGCGCATTAATAGAAAGTGACCCATAGCTTATCTTTCTTATGTGGCTTTCTAGCTGCTGTTCTCTCATTCTGTGACAGCTCTGCAGAAGTCAGACACAATGGAGAGAGATGTAGTTCGGCATATAGTGGGTGAAGGATATGCTAATCTGCTTGTTGTTTACTGAGAATTTGGGGGGGGGTCATCATGGCAGAGAGAATGTGGGCCTGGGACTCTGCAGCATACATCCTAGTTCCACCACTCCCCAAGGGACACGGAGCAGCTTCTCAGCTCTGAGTCACAGTTGCATCCACTGTGATATCTTAAGAGTAAATGAGATGATATGTAGGGAAGGCCTTAATCAGTACCTGATAGAGAGTAGGCCTCAGAATGATAGTGGGTAATCAGACCACTATGACCCTTCCTTCACCCCACTTCAGTTTTAGGATAGGGATGGCGACAGCACAACTAGAAGCAGAATTGCAGTGTTGTTGTTTGCCTCTTTGTTGCTGTGATAGAACACCAAAATCAGAAACAACTTGAGGAAAGAAATATATGGTTCCTTAGTTGATAGTGGCAGGAAAGGCATGGCAGCAGGACCAGGAAGCTGAGAGATCACATCTCAGTGGCACACAGAAAACAAAGAAAGAATCAGAAATGTGGTGAGGCTATAAATTCTCAAAGACCATACCCAACAATGTTCTTCCTGCAGCAAGGCTCCACACCGTAAAAGTTACATATCTTTCCCATACAGAACCGCTGACGGGGGACCATGTGTCGTGAGCCTATGGACGAATATGTCTCATTCAGAATCCATCACAGTCAGAATGTCAGACGCCATACAGCTCTTGGCCCATGGCTTCCTCAGATAGCCCTCTGAGGTTGATACTATTATCATCCCCATATTACAGATGAAGAAACAGACAGGAGGTTAAATAAGTTGGCAACATCATAAACTAAATGGCTCAGCCAGGACCTGGACCAAGGCAATTGAGCCCAGCCTAAGATGTCTTGCTTTTCACTTGGGTCCAGTATGCTCTCATTACATGAAAGTTATTGATCCTGCCTTTTTTCTAGGAGGGTGTGTGAAGTCTTCCTCTGCAAGATCTCTTTTCCAAGCTCTTGGCAAGAGTTTAGGTCTTAAGTCATGTCTTTCGCAAAACAACCTTACCTTCCCCAAGCCAAGACCTGTCAGCCTTCACCAAGTTCAGAAATGGTTTGCAGCTTAGATTTTCCTTTCTAGAAACAGTAGGGCACTCAGAGCAGACAACAACCCACAGTGGAGTTTACTTTTCACAAACTGAAAGCAATAGGAAGGCTTTTAAAGAAAGATAGGTGTGGGCAAGGTAGCTCGCTGATAAAGGACCCACATGATGGAAGGAGAAAGCCAACTCTTCCATGTTGTCCTCTGACTTTTATATACTAGGCCCATGCTGTAGGAGTCAGCACACATACAGAGTCTTGTAAAGGGGTGTGTGCATGCATGCATGTGTCTGTAGTGTTATTGTTTTTCATGAAAGAAAGGTAGAAAGGTCTTCTGGATAGAAAGATAAGGAAGTCTCCTCTTTATACGAGCCTGTATTGCCATGGACCAGAGCACAGCCATAGCTCAGGGTGTTGGTGAAGTTCATAGGGGCCTACATTAGCACGAACCACAGCACAGCCATAGCTCTGGGTATTGGTAAGCTCATTAAAATAAATTATTTTAGATCATTTTCATTTTGAATTTATATAAACCACAAGTTAAGTGATCCTGAACCAGAATGATCTACAAATCTACAAAAATCTCTACTTATGAGGTGAGCTGTGGCCTCTCTAATTGGCTGGCAGTTTATAGTTTGCAGGAAGAGGAAAGGCTCAAGGCTCAGGAGTGATAAATCCAGAAGGACCTTGGGCCTTACTCCACTCTTGTTACTTCTTCCTTAGTGATCTTGGGGGTTTCTCCATGGGGGTACCGTCTGTGACATGGACTGCTGAGGCTACCTGCAGGATACATGCTGATTCTAATAGAAAAGTCTGAACAAAGAAATTTGAGAGTGTGGTAGGGAGTCGGTTTTAGGACAAGGGGCCCTTAGCTTCCCTTACTTCCCTGGAAGTTGCAGAGACGGGAAATTTTAAAAATTTCCTGAAACTCCCTCTGTGGCAGCCAGACCCTAGTTCCCAGTGGACAGGAAAGGAGGGCAGGCACACAGGCTAGCTGCCAGTCTACAGGGTGATTTAGGATGAAACTGTGTAAATGGACCTGTTTCAATTAAAATTATTGCCTATTAAAGACTCTTCGAAGTTCTGAAGTGTGTGATAATTTCAGTAGTCTCAGAAAAAATGACGTAGTAAGAAATTGGAAAATTCTTAGGTATGTGCAACATTTTAAGTTATAAAAATAGCCTTTATTATGTAGAAATTTGAAAAATACAGGAAAACACAAAGGAAAAATAAAGTCGTGCATAATCCCATTATTACAGTGTAACTACAGTTCACTTTTTAGAAACTGCTTTCTTATCCCTGCACTTTCGTATACATTTTTACAACAATAATTATCCTATAAAAATTGTGCCTTAGGGTTTGTTTTGTAAAATAACATGCTATAAACATGGTTTGTAATATTGAATATCTTAGAATTACTTTTAGTATCTCTGAAATACTCAACAATATTTTATTTAGTAGGCTCTTTGTTATCAAATCTAAGTTGTTCCCAAATTTGAGTGTCATGAAACTATTAGATATTAGTATCTTGGGTTGGGGATTGCTTTTAGGACCTCCATGGGCTCCTGAATCTGCAGGTGCTCAGGCCCCTCTGTCCATGATGTAGTGTTTGCATAGCACACTCTCCCACAAACTCTGACTCTGAAGTCTGTGAAGTGCCTGGCACAGTGCAGGCTGGGTACTTGTTCTATGGATGATGAGGAATGATGGGAAATATTAAGTGTGCTGTATACACAACTTTGCCCAAGTGTTTTCAGTCTTCAGTGGTTAAGTCCACACAACATAGATACAGGGGCTGACGGTTATAACTTTGTAACCAGATCCCACTATAAATTTATGGAAATTGATGCATGGCTCTGACATGTTGCTTCTGGGATGTTGGGAATAGAGGCCTAGATTTTTCCCGGAATCCTGCGCTGCCTCTGATGCCATCCTCAGCTCTCTCATACCTCCTTGTATCTGGCCAAACATGAGAGTTTCCTGTGCCTCTCACCTTTCCAATAACCATGAGCAAATTACAGGCACAGTTTCAAATCTGACAGAACAACATGGCTGTTTAGGTTGACAAAGAAATAATGAATAAATGTATAAAATGTTCTGCTGCCTTTTTAGATCTGCCATAACCCTTAGGTATAATGAGATGGGTAGAATCCTTGGTTGTGGAATACTGCACCCATGTCTCTAATGTTTCCACAGATGTCTCAGTTAAAGCATAAACGAAAAAGGAAAAACAGCTGATAGATAGCTTCTACCTTTTCATTACCAAACCCAAGGCCTAGGATCAACTCTGTATATTTTGTGTTTTCACTTCTTTGACTTTTTAGGCTATCATAGAGTTCTCCACATACCTTATTCCTGATTATAATTGATCAGTGTGTTGTGATGATTATTAATAAGTACCTTGGCAACAGGGCCTCGTGTGAAATCGATGATTCCTAAGCCAGTGGGTGTTTTTGTTTGTTTGTTTGTTTGAGACGGGGGTCTCTCTACACAGCCCTAGGTGTCCTGGAGCTTGCTCTATAGACCAGGCTGGCCTCAGACTCACAGAGACCCACCTGCCTCTGCCTCCTGGGTGCTGGACTTAAAGATGTGTGTTACCGTGCCGGCTCTGAGTCTGTTTTATTCACGTCATCTTTGTCTTCATCATACTTGTTGAGGTATAAAGTCCAGAAACAGGTCCAGAGAGGATGATAACATGTTCCATATTAGAGAATCAGGGCAATCTTGTATGCCTCCAGTTCATTCTTCCTCAGACCTCTTACCTAGTGTGGGACGAACTAAGAACAGGGTGAAAAAGGCCAGTTTCTGCCATCTTGGGTAGTTACACCCTTGAGTCAGACATTATTGTTTTCATTTGGCTTTCCCTGATGTGTTAATTTCTGAGTGTTACATTCACCATTTCAGACTTCCTCCCCTCCTCCTGCCCCTTTGATCTTCCAGGCCCTCAGTACCGCCTGGAGAAGCAGAGTGAGCCTAACGTCGCAGTGGACCTGGAGAGCACGCTGGAGAGCCAGAACGCCTGGGAGTTCTGCCTGGTCCGCGAGAACAGTACGTTGACTGCCTCGCTCTGTGCTGCTTCGTCTGTTGCAAACATACTTAGGAGTGATGTGGTTGACCATACTTTCTGGCCTGGCGTCCCTAAGCAGATGAAAAGTGACCACAGCTCTCACTAGAAGTGTGTCCCAAAGCAGAATGATAGATTCTGTGCTATCTGGTAGTCTGCGTCCTGTTTAGCACTTAGTGATTAATATTTTTCTCTTGAACTACGTTTTCCTCATTTTGGAACAACCCTGGAAACAGCTGAGAAACAAAAAGCTCTTTCTCAGGTAAAGGCTCTTTTGTATATACAGCAACTGGCCTTGTCAGTGTCAACTGCTTAACATCATGTTTTAGAAAAATTTAAACACTTGAATATTCTCAGCGAAGGCGTCATAGTGACTCCAAGTGACACATTGAGATCTGGATTTCTTCCCTTCCAGTCTCCAGAGTTTCTGAGTTGGGAAGTTTTGTCACCCTCTGCTCTTTGTTCCCCAAACAGAAGGAGATAACCTGCCCACAGCCACTCATGCTCCAGAGCTGTTTCTTCTGCCTGGAGTGCTCTTCCCATCTTTCTGCTACCTCATCCTCATCCTTGTCTCAGTGTAAATGTCACATCTGCAATGATAGTCCTGTCACCAGACCTGGTTCATCCTCATCTGGGACCCCAGGAGCTATCTCAGAGTATTCTGGTTTTTTCTTCATGGCATGTATTGCTGTTATTGCTGTTATTAATTTTGCCTAGTAACTGGCTAATGTCTACATCCCCCACTGGATTCTGCAAGGGCATATTCCTGACCCATGCTAGTTGTCCCTCATTAGCTCAGCAGACTGCTAAAGACTACACACTACAGAAGCTCAGGAGAGGTAGAGTGAGTGAGTGACTGAGTGACTGAGTGAGTTTGTAAAAGGCCTTTAGTCCTGCTGCTGACTCTTAGCAGATTGGACTGCTGCTCCTTGACCAGAACCCTTGGCTGCCTCTGGGACAGCATGCACACATTTACCAGGAAGGAGAGATGTACCT